AACCCCATGGTAAACCTTTGGAGGGAGTTGAAAGTCCGTGTTGCCCAGCGACAGCCCCAAAACATCACTGCTCTAGAGGAGAGACTTTCAACTCCCTCCAAAGGTTTACCATGGGGTTGAGATCTGGAGACTGGCTAGGACCTTGAAATGCTTCTTACGAAGCCACTCCTTCGTTCCTCGGGCGGTGTGTTTGGGATCATTGTCATGCTGAAAGACCCAGCCACATTTCATCTTCAATGGACTTTCAACTCCCTCCAAAGGTTTACCATGGGGTTGAGATCTGGAGACTGGCTAGGACCTTGAAATGCTTCTTACGAAGCCACTCCTTCGTTCCTCGGGCGGTGTGTTTGGGATCATTGTCATGCTGAAAGACCCAGCCACATTTCATCTTCAATGAGAACCTGCACAATTGGTGGCTGACTAAATACTTTTTTGCCCCACTATACATTCTTAAATTCATAAATCATAAATTCTCCGTTTGTAACTAGAATCCTCTGCCCTCACAGCCTTACAATATTTTTGCACAATGTTGTCATGCATACATACAGTTCATCCAGAAGAACTGGGGGATTGACAGGGCAGCTGTCTGGAGTGCTTTCCTGTCAGTATGTTGTTTAGCTCGTGCCATTGGGATGTTAGCTATCATATGCCAGGGCATATGTCACTGAAACCTTCCTATCCAAACATGGGCAGTTTGGCACAATGATACATAGTACTCTTGGAACAGCTATTGGTAGGCACTTTATAGTATAATCCAAAACCAAGAATACATTCACCAGTTGACATTCCTGATTCAATGTGCCATATTTTTAGAAAGGATATTTAATAGAAATAAACTATCTAGAATCATTTGAAAAGCTATGCAAATTTTGTTCAAGCCAAGAATTGTAGATTTAAATCACCTTTTTAATGGATGGCTCTACATCTTCAGACACATGATGAGAAAGGGAAGTAAGTATGACAACAAATGACAACAGGTAGAACAACCAGTCTTAGAATTGGCAATGAAGATATTGAAATGGTGGACAGCTTCTGCCTTTTAGGATCAACCATCAACAGTAAAGGAACAACAGTCAAGAAATAGTAAGCTACAAACTAGCACTTGGTAGAGCAGCCATGAAGGCCTTGGAAATTCAAAGGCCGTGACGTGTCTGTACCTACAAAGATCGGAATTATGCAAGCCATGGTATTCCCTGTGATACTATATGGAAGCGAAAGTTGGACTTTGAAGAAGTAGAATAGTAAGAGTATTGACTGCTTTTGAACGTTGGTGTTGGAGAAGACTCCTGAGAATACCGTGGACAGCCAAAAAACAAACCAATGGATCATTGACCAAATCAACCCAGAGTGCTTACTCGAGGCACAAATAACCAGGCTCAAATTATCATATTTTGGACACATTATGTGAAGACCTAGCTTTCTAGAAAAGGCTGTAATGTGGGAAAGGTGGAAAGAAAGAGAAGAAGAGGATGACTAGCAGCAAGGAGGATGGACTTAGTTACAGTGGCAATGAGTGCACCATTGGGACACCTGAAAGACCCAGTTAGGGACAGATAATCATGAAGAAGATCTATCTATGTGGTCACTAGGAGTTGAAAATGACTTGATGGCACATAATCAATCACAGTTAATGCATCTCATATCTGGAGTATGAATGAATTCATCTTTTTGAATGCTCATGTGTTCAAGGGGATACAATTTACATAAAATCCTTCATAACGAAAGTACAGCTAGTCCTTGACCTACGACTGCAGTTGGGATCAGAATTTCCATCACTAAGCGATGCAGTTGTAAAGTGCAACCGCATCGCTTAATGATGGCAATCTCTGCAGTCCCAGTTGCCGTTGTTAACTGAATCCCACAGTCGTTAGGCGAGGCAACTTCCTGCCAGCTTCCCACAACCAAAGTCAGTGGGGAAGTCAACAGGAAGTTGCAAGTCCCAGGCCCACAGGCAGGTAAGTGGCTGTTGCCAGGTGGGGGAGGGAGCGAGGGAATGCATGGGGGTAGTAGTAGAGGGTCAGGGAGAATGTGCAAGAGGCGCAGCACTGGGAGGGTGTGCAAGGATGCAAAGGAGGGTCAGTGAGGGTGCATGAGAGGTGCCGCATGGGTCAGGGAGGGTAGGGTGCACAGGAGTATGGCATGGGTTGGGGAGGGTGCACAGAGTTGCATGAATGGCCAGCGAGGTGCAAGCACAGAGGGATTGGGGAAGGGTGCGCAGGTGGGGAATGCTTACCCCAGTGACTTGCGATCTTCCCTGCCGGCTTCCCCATTGACTTTCTGGGGAAGCTGGCAGGGAAGGTTGCAAATGGCGATCACATGATTGGGGGCATTTGGCAACTGGTCATAAGTGCAAGCATGTTGCCAAGCACCCAGATCGCAATCACATGACCACGGGGGCGCAGGGACAGCCAGAACTCTGAGGACCGGTCGTAACCACCATTCATTCAGCGCCGTCGTAATGTGGAACAGTCACTGACCAAATGGTCGGAGGTCGAGGACTACTTGTAATCCCAACCTTCCTCAAATATGGTAATTCCAAATCTTTATCCAAAATACAAGTCTATCCACTAAGAGTACAGTGTGAGCGCCACAGAGGATTACCAAGATAGTTCAATCCTCAATCACAAAGTGGGTTGCTTAAACTTAAAATCATACCTTACAAGTCTTTTTAAGTGTTTATCTAAGCAAAAGAAGTGATTCCAGTATGTCTTTTGGTTTTTTTTTTTTAACAGCTATCATATTCAGAATATGTTTTTGTAATTTTTCTTCAAAAACATTACACAGGCAGATTAAAAGAAAGCAGGCATTTTTGTTTTGTTTTTCTACTCCTTACTGCTAATAGCTACAATTGTTGTATGGCATATAGACACATTCACATCACACTATTCCCTTCTGGGTTAAGAAATATTATGCAAAGTGCAGAAAAGGAGTAAGGACTAGTAAGCCAAAAAAAAAAAAAATTAAAGGCATGAGGTAAGAACGTGATAATAAACTATAACTGAATACAGAAAGCTAAGGAAATGACTTTAGGGAAAACATTCAGAAGCCATTTCAAAAACAAAAACTTCAGAAGCATGCCCATGCCTCCTGGGAAAGGAGAAAGTATTAGGTAGAGTCTGAGGCTGGCTCCTCCCTAACTTGCCGGGTTATAAGAGGGAGAGAAAGGAATAAAAAAAGCAGGCCTGCAAGGTTCTGTTAAAAGAGCCTATCTCAATAAAGTTTAATTCTAGTCTTCTTGTTGAGTCAGTTTCCTGATTTGGACAATCTCAAAGGGCTGACACTAAATCAAGTTTACACCATCACAATTCACTATATGGTATAACCTGAGAAATCTTACATTATGAATGTGCAGCTTGTTTAACATGTGCATGAAGACTGCATCTATGCCTGATGTTTGGAAAAATGCTGTTTTTGTTCCCTATACAAAGAGAAAGGGAGCAAGAGTAAATGCAAAAGTTCAAACGTTATTTGTGTAGTGCAACAACGGCAGGAGAATTAGTTTATTTAATTGAACCTATGATGATGCTTGCTAGAATTCTGTCTAAAAGCTTATAGGATGTGCCAATAAGCACAATGTGGGAAGCACAGTGCAGATTTATGACAGGCAGGGGATATGCAGACCATTTTTTTGCTCTTCACTAAGAAATATATGAATGTCAGAAAGAAAATTCTATTGTCATTTGTTGATTTAGAGAAAGTATATCATAAAATGAATAGGCTTGAATTGTGGATTTTTTTGTGGAAATAAGGAGTTGGAGATTGGTTGCTAAACAAGCTAAGAGTAGTTCATGATGAAAATAAAACGTGTGAGAATAAATGGAATGCTTAGGAAATGGTTCAATATAGTGAAGGGGGTAAGAGAAGAAGTGTGATGTCACTTTGGTTGTTTAATGTATTTATGAATACATGTATAAAGAACATTTGTGCTGATATTAGGGGTGTGTTGTTGTATGTATACTTTAGTATATAGATGATATATGTGAATGTGAATGTCTGAGAATGTGAATGATTTGCATGACTGCATGATGCAGTTCAGAAATTTGGATCCTAAAATTAACATATCAAAGACCAGGGTTTGAGAGGGAACACTGAGTGAACAATTGCAAATTATACATAAATGACAAAAAAGCTAGACTAGGCAGATGAATCTATGTACTGTACTAGGTAGAAAGCTTACTAAAGCTGGGAAAATGGGTGGACAAGTTTTAAGATGTTCAAATGCTGGTAAAAAGGTAACAGATAGTATGGGATCTGTTGCAAGGAATAAATGACTGAAAGAATAAAAATTGGCTATGTATAAGAGCATTCTTATGTCCACTTTTTTATATGGAGGTGAGAGTTAGGTACGTGGACAAAAGCAAAGAAATTGAATGTGTTTGGAATGTAATACTTAAGAAGTGTATGTGGTAAAACACGAAGAAATAGGGACAAAAATTAACGAAGATAATGTCATTAGTGGGAAATGGCCACTCAAAGGACCAGGAAAGTATATAACAAAAGATAAACAAAATTCTGGGCATTTAATTTTAGATGTTGAAGAATGACCCTGATATTTATCTACTCTATGCAATGCCCTGAAATGATGGTATAGAATTGCAACTTAAAAAGAAGAAACTAAGGAAGGAGATAAAAGATTCCACATAAAAAAGATATCACCCTCAAATTATGCTATTTGGCAACAAAGAAAGATGAAAATAAAGATTCAGCAAAAATAAGCATATTAATTTGCCTGAGAGCAGCTTCTTCACTTTCATCCCACAACCAAACTAGAGGAAAAAGATGTGTCAAACATCATCCGTGTGGGAGGATTCAGCAAGATCTCACAATAAAGGCCAATACGCAATCTGGAGGCCCACATTATGGCTTCCAATTGTCTTTAAGATAATTCAGTATACTATTGCTTTACCATCTCATTGTTTTAAATAAAGTATCAGAAGGAACTCTAATTCTGGACTGAAATCTGGAAAGGCAAACAGACACATACAGACACAGATACTTACTAATTGCTCCTGTAAAGGTTGGCTGCGTAAGGTCTTTTGGCACCTTTCTGTAGATATCAAACCTGAAAAATATATCAAAAAGAATCCACAAACATTATAAAACATGTGGAACATTTCATGATTCAGAGTCCACAATACTGCAATTTTTTCCATTAACGGTTCCAACATCATCATTCTTCATTTTACACTAGAGTGCAAAACTCTCTTTTTTGTTCTCTTGTGGAAGTGAACCACTGGGGTTTTTTTTTTAATTACTTCTATGGCCAGTCAAGTCTGATGATTAGATTGGGGGAAGCGAGAGTGGGTAGAGTTTTCCTGCTTCTCCACACTCACTCATTAAGCCAAAAAGCAGAGCCCTTAACTGTGCTCACTAGTGAGTTGGTTCACTTTACTATACAAGGTGCAAGAGAAGCCATCAACAGCTCTCTACCAGCCTCTTATTCATATCACCCCACCCCATCTGACCTATTCCATTAAGAGTTCTTTCAAGCAGACCAGGCTGGGCAATATTTTGTCACTTCACTGGCTATCTGGAGGCTGCAGAATGATTTCCACTAATGTGATGGCATTCCAGAATTTCAGAGGCACAATTACTGGCCATTTGGGGAGTGGGGAAGTTGGAGAGGAATTAAGGATGGAAAAGGGAGAGGTTTACTTCCAGAAAGGCCTCCTGCTTACATTTCAAGACTTTAAAAAAAAAAAATCACTTCTCCAAATGGGTCATTTTGCTGCCGAATACTGAGAATGCAATCTCAGCCAATTTGCAAGTCACCACTTAAGCAGGGCGACGGCCGCGCGGGGTGGGGTGGCTGCTCTGTCCGCGGAGGATGGCGCCGGGCCCGTGGGTATCCCTGCCTCCCCTCACCCACCCCCCCACCGACGCACGCCTCGTCTCTCGGCAGGGACCGGATGAGCCAGGGGGACTCCAACCCAGCGGCGATGCCCCACGCCGCGGAAGACGTGCAGGGCGACGACCGGTGGATGTCCCAGCACAACCGGTTTGTCCTGGACTGCAAAGACAAGGAGCCCGATGTGCTGTTTGTGGGGGACTCCATGGTTCAGCTGCTGCAGCAGTACGAGATATGGCAAGAACTTTTTTCACCATTACATGCACTGAATTTTGGGATTGGGAAGACACTACAGGACATGTTCTGTGGAGACTGAAGAACGGTGGACTGGAAAATATTAAGCCCAAGGTCATTGTTGTTTGGGCTGGAACAAACAACCATGAAAACACAGCAGAGGAAGTAGCTGGTGGAACAGAGGCCATTGTGAGACGGATCAATACACGGCAGCCCCAGGCTAAGATTATCGTACTGGGCCTGCTCCCTCAAGGTGAGAAGCCAAACCCGCTGCGGCAGAAGAACTCCAAGGTGAACCAGCTCTTGAAGGCTTCCCTGCCAAAGCTGGCCGGTGTCCAGCTGCTGGATGTGGATGGAGCCTTTGTGCACTCGGATGGCACCATTTCATGGCACGACATGTTCGATTTTCTGCATCTGACAGGTGCTGGCTACCCTTGGTATCTGCAAACTCCTCCATGAACTCATCATGCAGCTGCTGGAGGAAACCCCAGAAGAGAAGCAGGCAACTCTGGCCTGACAGCCTCCCCACCCCACCCTGTCCCAGCTCCATCAGCCCAGTTCTTTTTTCCATGGCTCTACTGAATCCTCACTCGATGTGCTTTCCATTGTTGAATGTAACTGGGTGTTGTGTTTAGCACTGGAAAGGGAGATGGAGGGTAGCATGGCTAGTGTCACGGCGTGTAGCTGGCCAAAGGAGTCCAAAGGCCACTTTGGTCACTTGGCCTGAGCAGGCTTATTCTAACGGAAGCAGTCGTTTCTCGCTCATGGTGTGAGCATCCTTGTCAGCAACCTGCTGGCTTATGTTCTGCTGTCACTACCATTCCTCCCTCCTCGGTGTCCAGGCTGTCAACAGTGCTGAAATGCCTGAGCTCACTGGCTGCACTCACATTCCACCACTTAAGCAGCCCATAAGGCAATGAACCTATTCTGGGATGAATCCTTGCAGGTGAGAGTTTATTGGACTGAATTAATTTTATTTAAAAAATACTCAGTCTGGAATGCTGAGGAGAATGTTTCTCCGTAAGAATGCCAATTTTCTATTTCCATAGGGAATCTACAGTCATGTGAAAAAGAAAGTACACCCTCTTTGAGTTCTATGGCTTTAT